TATATCTCGCGTCTTTTTAATACGTTCTAGGTCCTATCATAACATGTGTATTTTCCTAGGAGTCCCCAATATTTTTATATAAATTAGTCTTATTTTGCTAGGGAAAAATTAATTGAATTGATTTGTAGTTAGAATATAGCATATACCAGTTATATTACTAGTAATTTTTCATTAAACCATGCTATCAAACTTTATTAAATCCATATAAATATACCCAATTTGTTACAAATGTCTACACAAAATTTAGTATTTTAGGAATTAAAGCAATATCTATGGAATATTGAAATAAAATATCGTTTCATTCATACACTTTCATTTTCCTTTGGGTATATCGTTTTTTTTTTAACTTTTCCCCACAAAAATAATTAAATTTATTCATTCATTTACACAGTTTTCATGACACACAATTTCCATTGATTAAACATTTGCCAAAATGTATCAATGGTAAATATGTGTCGTTCTCTTTATATCTCTGTATGTGTGCAAGTGAGTGTGCAACACCTACACAATATTTCAAATGATGTCCCATAATTCTATTTAAATTCAAACAATAAGAACTGCGCCATCGCCACAACCAGAAAAAAAGGAATAAATAAATTTTTCCCATTTTTTGCCTCTAACTGATATTTAATAACGCTTTTCATTGGTGAATTATAGTTTATGTTCCGTATATTAAAGTCATATTGATGTTGATTATTATGAAGCTTTATGCCGCATAAATACCACAAAAACATACAAAACCCCGTTGTTTCAAATAACAAATGTATGCATGCGTGTACGTGTATGTGTGTACATTTGTCTATAAAAGATATGAAAGCATAGTCCATAAAACATACACCCATACACAAACGTAGCAGGCTGTGTACGTGCATTCATATCAATTTACGTCACATGGTTGAGTAGTGAGTGTATAAGGAAATATTTACACAAACGTATTGGTATAATAGGATGGAATCATGTTTTATTGTAATTAAATAAATGTTGATACAATACAACTGGGAAATCGTGGACTTTAAAATGGCATATTTTCCGGATTTGGTTGTTTTCTAGAAAATTAGTTTTTGAAAAGCTATTGCATTTTTGAAAATGATAATGTATAAATATATGGTTACAATTTAATTTAAATTTAAAACGACAACTAGGCGACCCCTTCTTTATATTTTGTTTTTTTTTTTTATTTATGAGAATTATAAAACAAATCTTTCAAACGTCTTACCCTAGTGTACAATTCAATTCATAATGCAATTTCATCGTTTAGTTGAACGTTGCCGCTGTGGCTATAATTTATGATCTTAAACCATATTTCCACACACATATGGAATGGAACTGAAATGGAAAAAAAATCGTTTCAACGAGAACTCACTGAGCAACAAAAAAGAATAGCAAAACTAAAAGGCCTGGAAAAACATAAGCATGTTGCACTTGCATCACACGTTCTCACACAATCGCATAACAGCAAAAAAACGTCAAAGCTCTCTCATTTCATTTCATTGCATGTGTATGTGTACTCCTATGGATGTGTGACTAATACCATCGCCACCAACATGCTGTCCAACAGCATGTTCGTGACTAGTAGCGGGCAACCGACTCTAACCATGTTAGATAGCGGGGGGTTTGAAGCCCAACTGGTGAGAGTATTTTAATTGGAAGATGGTGGAGCATACCATCCACCACGGCAAAACGAAACGGAAAAAGTCCGGCCAATGACAAAGCTGTTGCCATACACCTCTAAATCCTGGCATTAAATACAAAAGCATGTTTTGTATTGTCTGACTGGTCAGATATTCATTCCATCCACACTCTTTGCACTAATCTTTGCTTTTCGGAGAAAAATTTTGCATTTTATATTTTAGGCGAACGTAACGCGTCCATCATTTATGCCTAGCCACCACGGCAAAAAAGGATGCCTAACAAGAAACACCATACATTGGATGGAAGTACAAAAACGATGCGTTCATGTCATTGTAACACCGCGTATCACTAGTCCCACCACTTTAATTTCCTGATCATTTTTCAATGGAATTGCTGCCAGCAATATCTGTATCACATATTTGCGACTACACGGAAAGTGTATGCCAAATTAATGAGTGGATACTTACTGGCAAATTAATACGCTATCCAATGACAGCCAACGGGAAGTATGAAACAAATGCTTATTATGAGCATAACATTTTTGGATAGGTTTCACTGTTCGGTTAGGAAAGTGTCTGCAAAATTAGATATGTTGCTAAAATGGTTGTGTTTAAATTAATATGAAGATGGAATCTATACTTGTAACCTAAAAAACTTTTTTATTGATTTTCTTGGGAAACTTAATGTAAGTCGATTTCATATATTGATTCGGCTTCGAAATTAATATATAGTCTTGTGGCCTTATTTCACGGTTATGAACAAACATTGCAGGGCTTTCTAATCACTAGAAACCAAGCTGCTCAATTTAAAGTCACTTCGGATTAAAGTTAAAGTTAGGAGCTATTGCAAAATTTGGACCGATAGTAATAGTCTCTTGCTGGAAGTTAATCGACAAATCAAATGTCATTAGACTATGTCAATAAAGGATCAAGGAACTAGCACTAACTGACTGACTTAACAATTCATCAAGGCCTATATGAAACGGCTTAACCTGGAAATTTTGGGTGAGGGTCACTTTTGGTCCAAAGGTGTCAGACAAGGCTAGGTTTTTGGAAAATCGTACTTGAACGGTACGAAGTACTCAAAAGTATCATTTGTATTTGACGAACTGTAGAGCTAGAATTCTTAAATTTTAAATGGGCGTCACTGATGGGTTTTGAATAGATGTAGCAAAGTTGTTTTGGACATTCAAACTATAAATATACAAAAAGTAAAAAAATGTACTAAACATGATACAATTTCGAAGCATGTGAAAGGATAGAGCTGTAAACTTAAAATTTGGAATGCGAATCAAGGCTGAGAAGTAAGGTCGATATAGGCAGTTGGATTTAGAAGTGTGTTAACGAAAAGTGCTAAACTGTACTAAATTTGGTACAATTTGAACTTGGTATATTGTATAAACGGGTGGAACTGGAATCCAAATTAACATATGTAGGCAGTTTTGCAAATTTGTACTTATGTGTATGAAAAGTACTAAATGGTAAAATATTTGGTACAATATAGATTAGAGTGAACTGCATTTTTAGAATTTAGGTATGTTGATAGTTTGGGAAATTCGTACTTATGTGCACTAAATATGGTACAATTCGAATTTTGGGTGAATTAATGGACTTGGAATTCTGAATTTTGGAGTAAGGATTTTGATACGTAGGAAGTTTTGGAAATTTCAACTAATGTGTACTAAATTTAGTACAATTGAAATTCAAGTGATCTGATTGAGCTGGAATCTAGAAGTTTGGAGTAAGGATTTTGATACGTAGGAAGTTTTGGCAATTTCTACTAATGTGTACTAAATTTAGTACAATTGGAATTTAAGTGATCTGATAGAGCTGGAATCAAGTGTATGTGAGTGTATATGAGTGTAGTTTTTGAAATTTGTACTTATGGGTACAAAATGGTTCTAGTTTTGATACAATTTGAATTTAGATGAACCGGTAGAGCTGGAAGACTGAAGTTTGAAGGTATTTTGATAGTTTGGAAAATTCGTATTTATGTGCACTTAATTTGGAACAAATTGAACAAATTGAATTGAAGGTAAAATCTAGAGTGAACATCTAAAATTTTAACTCCAAAGTATAGCAGAGAACTCCCTAAGGTGGGATAATATCACTGAAACTACACTTTTTATATTCAACACCATAAAGTAGAGCTTATAGTAAAATTTAAAACACCTCGAAATATTCCTCGAAGATAACTAGAATGTTTGGTTTCTGTTATTATATGTCCATGTTTTGGTATATTTCCTATACTGCCAAATTTTCGTCATTTTGAAATTTTTAGTCGTATTTTCCGAAATTATTACAATTTCGTATTCAGAATTCGCAGTGGACAAAACACTTATTCGAAAGATATTGTCTATTACTATTACTTTTGGCCAATGAGAAACGTAACATCGAATTATCCGATTCAACCTAATTTGAAGTAAAGACCGCCTAATAACTTTAGAATAAAATTTAAGACACAAAACGATTTCTTAATATATAGGCATACTCACATTTCAAACGGTACATCATTCATTACACTCACCGCCACTACCTTCCATTCTAGATGGCAGTCTGACGTTAAAACATTCAATCAATAATTACCTGCATCCAAGCTATGAATCCTTTCAAATCATCCTTTGACAAACTGTAGGATACTGTAGATTAGTAAGGACAGGCCAGAACAACCATATCCACTTCCAACTAAATATTTCGTCATTGTCTGTCATAGCTTGCGATGATGACAGCTGCAGGTTGTAACGGCAGTAAATTTTAGTAGCAAAACATCAAGTTATAAATGATGTCAGTGGCAACAGCAACTGCAGCTCTATCACATACATAATCTTCCTCCCTCCGCCTCTCTCTCTCAAGCACTATGGTATCCCCTCGTTATGGCTTTAACAAAGCTGGCTGTCGTTGTTATTATTTTTGTAGCCATGGCTAACTAAATAACCCGAAAAAAACACTACAAATGAAAGCAATTTTCCAGCAATATCTGCTGAACGAAACCAACAACAGCAGAAGCAGCAGTGGCAACAACAACAAAAAACGTGGAAGTGAAACATAACATCATCGGTAGACAAAATAACAACCAGCAGATGCCACATGGCATGATTTCTAAAATGTATAACAACGTGCCCAGTGACAATCATGATGATGACGACGACAACAACAACTACGACAGCAGCATCAGCAACAAAAATAAATGCAACAGCAACACTAACTACCAGGATAACAACAAGGATATGGATGATTTTATACAATGGATTTTTAGTAACATCAACAAAACGAACAGCATGAACAACAACAACAACAACAACAACTTTGAAATGGGCTAAAAATCGGCCAACTAGCCAACCATCCAACCAGACAGATGCAAAATGCAATATGCCATTGATATTGCTGGATACTGCCGGCCTCCCTGCCGTTGACCAGGATGCTGATGATGACCATGATGAGACTGACAAGCACACCGGTTGGCAAGAATAACTTTGTCTCGTATATGTACATACATATATGCATGATTTTTAGGAGTATATATGTGTGTGGGAATGTATGTATTCCCGTGTTGTTAAGCCCACCGCACACACACAGACGACGTTTATTTAAATCCTACACAACAAGTGCGGCTCATCACAAATCCCCGAGTGAGAGTGTGGTGATTGTTATCCAGGATATTGCAGCACGGACGTGTATGTAATTTGATAAAGTCTGTTTTGTGATATTCCATACACAATAAACATGAGCAGACAATAAATATCCATGTAAGTCCCCCCAAAAAAAAACAACAAAAAAGAAATCACTTCCACTGACCCATTCGCCAATAGTCCAAGCTAACCGACTGACAGACCTATCAACCATTCGGGTTAAAAAAGCAGAACAAAAACATCACACAAAACACGAAATTTGTAATGTGCCATCATCACAGCAGCAACGACATAACGACAACACGTATGACACTCAACTCAACATATTGAGTTGTTACCGAGAATTTTTGATTATTTTCGTTTATCTGCAACTAATCCAATGTACATAGTCAGCCAACGTAATAAAATTATAAGAGGATGGTAAATTAAATTGGTTGAAACACTTTTGATAGCTAAATATTCGCTGAATCTTGGAAGAGGTGTCAAATTTATAAAAAAAACAGTAAGGAAAGAGGAAATGTCGGTCTGGGTCGACTATATGACTTTGGGTCTTTGCTGGAACATCGTGCAGTCGGATATAATATGTTTGGGAGCTATATATTAGGTTGAGCAAACAGAAATTGATTTTTTTTTTTTTTTGGAAATGGTTTAAAACAGTTATGGTCGATTGTTAGCACCCGGTCGATTTTTAGCTCCCATGCACACCACTCACAATTTTAGCCGCTTGGCTTGTATTTTCGCCTTTCCTACAATGAGAAATTACGAGGTCAGAATATGTCTCTTGCAATATTCGCTTGTTGAAACCACAAGTCGGAGAATTGACGACGACAGTCACCTTTGAACCAAAGAGCGCACCAAACAGTGTAGTTTTCTGAATGTAGTGGCCACTATTTAAGAACCTCAAATATAACTATTTTTGTTATTCGCAAACCCATTGAGTATGAAATGTGTTTCATCGCTTAAGAACATTTTACCGACGTTGATAACGGTTTCAGGTTTTGCGTGAGTTGGACGTTATATGGATATCGGTGTAGACCTAAATGCCGTACAGTGCCGTAATACAGTCCTTATTACACTTATAGCAGCGATACTTTCAGCGGAATGAGCGAAACGATGATACACACGCCTTACACTATTTGTAACCAATCCAGTATCTTCCAATTTATTCACTAATCTGCCAGTTGATTATGTCTTTGGACGATTATGTAAACCATAATATCTTGTGACTATGGCAGATTCGGCATGTTTCTACCCTCAGCCTTATTACTTCCAAACTTAGTTAAAGTTCGAAATTTGGGGATATCGGTCTACTAATTCTGGACTGGAGTTTCACAAATAAATAAATAAAAAATAAACCTCCTCCACAAATTAGTGAAAATTATTCCAAAAAATTATTTTGAAATATAATGCAAACGGACTATACGATAGGTCATGTCCGAAAATGGTCCACTCCTTCTCGTACCTCCCCCACAAAGGGACTGTGCACATCGTCGTATTTTTACCAAACCTAAATTAAGTTAAGAAATGGGGATGATCACACTACTGCATCTAGTACCCCCTCCCCCACCCGACAAACTGTTAAAAATTATGCTAAAGATTAATTTTATAATATAATGCAACAGAGTATCCGATTTAAATTTTGTACAACATAATATTTTAAACACGCATGTATAATGTTGGAAGATGAGACTTATCGGTCCACTTCTTCCAGTACGTCGCCCTTCTAGTATCTCTAGTACCATTAGCGATGTACAAAATTTCAAAACTTGAAAGGAATATCCAATACCATTAAAACATTACTCATGGTTATACATTTATCCTACATGTATCATGCTTAAAGTTGGGACTCGTTCGACAACTCCTTCTGCTACCTTTTTAAGATTCCTAACAAATATTATTTATAAATACATACAAATATTTTATGTTTAGTTACATAAAATATCTTTAACAAATCGACGTCTGTCTGATATATTTTTACATAAAATATAAAAAATATGTAAAAAAATTTTATGTAAATCCATCAAAAAAATATTTTTAAAAATTCACGTCACTTAAAATCCTGAACAAATAGTCCAATACCTTTGAAACGACGAAATGGATAACCATTTTATATTGAAAATCTCCAAATATATCAAACCATGGACCAAGGAGCATTATCAATGTATCTGCCAAATCACAGAGATTTTTATTATATTATCGAATGTTGAAAGTAATATTTTTAGGTTCTTACAGCATTTTGCAACCTGCTATTTTAGGCCTTCCAGTTTCTTCTAAGGCAAGGGCTTCTTCACAGAAAATGTTCCGTATAGCTCCGTGTTGTGATATAGCCTGAGTTTTGTAATCCAAGTGGTTGTAATTTGACACTTAATTTTTAATTCTGCATACTTTTCGATATAATTTCCTACCTCAATTTCAAAAGTTGATCCTATAAACAAAATTACAGTCGTACCTTGTGCCGTATACGTATTATATTATTAATGAATATATACGCAAACTTTGCTCATACGCAACCGTAATCAGTATCAATTAAATTTTAAAATCATCAAACATACAAACGAATTCTAGAACAAGAAATTAATTGGAATTTTTAATGTAATTTCATACTTAAGCTTTGATTTTTGCCAACAATTATAAATTACATGTTAAATCATTAAAGACATTCATCAGGAATGTGCATTTTATATTGAAAAACTCCTCCAACCAATGCGGCCATAATTTTCAATATATCGATAATTATCAAATATACCAAACTATGGACCAAGGAGCATTAGCAATGTATATGCCAAATCACAGAGATTTTTATTACATTATCGAATGTTGAAAGTAATATTTTTAGGTTCTTACAGAATTTTGAAACCTGCAATTTTAGAACATCCAGGTTCTTCTAAGGCAAGGGCCTCGTCGCAGAAAATGTTCGTATAGCTCCGTGTTGTGTTATAGCCTGAATTTTCCAATCCAAGTGGTTGTAATTCGACACTTCATTTGTAATTCTGCACTGTGAAATTTTACAAATAATTGTTGGTCGAAAAAAATAAAATCAGCATATTTCCTATTTGTTACGTTCGATTACATAGAAAACTCCAATATTTATTATAATCGGTAGATGTTCAAGATATGATATATGCATACAGTTTTGATCTGTAATTTCTTCGAATCATGTGTGCCGAGATGGGTGCGAAATTAATAATTCCCTTGAAATAAGTCAATATTTTTCACAAACGACTTTGTGAGTAGAATAATTAATTCTCAACTACTTTGAAGAAAAGCGTCAGAGAAGCAAGAAACATTGGCGTGATGGCTACCATGCGAAAACACAAATTTTCTTTTATAACAAAATCCACGCATTGTTCCTGTTCTACAAATTCAAAACGTTCTCACCCACAAATTGTGTATGGTATCTATTCCTTATTGACCGATAGTCTATTGTATATCTCCTTTCTCCAATTTGAAGTTCTCCATTATAGTTGCATTGCTTTTCTCATTCTGTTTTGTAATAAATACTTAAGAACATCAACATGAAGTCTATTTATTACCGTACAATTCCATATAATATTTACTAAATATAATATTGTGGATTAAATTTGTATACTTTTCGACATAATTTCCTACCTCAATTTCAAAAGTTGATCCTATAAACGAAATTACAGTCGTACCTTGTGCCGTATTCGTATTATATTATTAATGAATGTATACACACACGCAACCGTAATCAGTACTCAATTAAATTTTAAAACCATCAAGCATACGCACGAATTTTGGCAACAAGAAATTAATTGGAATTTTTAATGTAATTTCATACTTAAGCTTAGATTTTTGCCAAAAGTTATAAATTACATGTCAAATCATTAAAGACATTAATGAGGAAAGTGTATGCACACACACACAATCACACAAATAAGGTATACATTACCAATACGTAAATACACACAAACAAATTTATAGTATATTATTCAATTAAGTATCTTTGCATGATATTCTTTAGATGAGTACGACAATAATTGCATATATGTATATCGCATAAGATATTGCAAAGTTGTATTTCAATGATTATTGTGTGTGTGTCAATGATTTACTCGTGCATTTGATGTTGTACACTTTTTGGGGTTTTGCAATAGAAAATATATTAAATGTCAAACGTTCCAGAACAGGCAATATTATTTTAGACCGCAAACATTTGGTTGCATCATTGGGGAGAGGGAGACGAAGATAGAAGACTGTAGTTGTCACCAATGACTTTTATTAATGTTAGTTATCAATTAATGGAAAAACAGATCAGTGCAGCCCTGTAGATGTTTATGTCAATTGTTTGGTAATGCCTAACATGCAAACAAGCTGCAGCAGCTGTTGCATAAATGGAACAGCAAATATTTTCATATTATTTCTATATAGCTTACTTGAAAATTGTATTTTTTGTTATATAAAAACTCTTTATTAATGTAGGAACTATCAATATCTAAATCTGCTGAATTACATATTTGTTTATTTCTGTTTTTGATATTAAACGAAATTAAATTCAAACGAATTCGATTCACGAACCACAAACTTTGACAACAATAATAATAATGATAATTACAAAAACAACAAATGTAATTGTTGTAAGTAATTGTTGATATGTTGTTTGAGAAAATAAACATTTACCACAACAGCAGCAGCAACAACAACAAGTGTATGTTCAACCTGAACATTGACACAGATGCCAAGTTATGTGCAAATGCTACCCACATCCATAGATATACCGACAGCGCATACATACCCAATGAACGAATGAATCTGCACATTTACACATCACAAATTATGCACATTTGTAAAATTGCATAACATTTGGTAA